CTGAAGAATTGTGCATCCATGCCCCTACGGATACCGGGAGCAACCAGAGTACTTTCTTGCAAAAGTAAAGATACGTATTTCGAGGAAACCACTGAAGATGAAGACACGTGAAGTCAAAAACCAACTCCGAGCACGAAAAGGGAGGTTGTGCCAAAAACTGGCAAACAGGGAAAAGACAAAATAGGGAAAAGGACGAAATAAGGAAAAAGGATAAAAGTGAATAGTATCCCGAAAAATGAAAATGCGGAAATGACTCGGTCCTCAAAGAAAGTTGTCAATCTACACGAAAGAGTCTCAGAAGCCACTTTTGAGCACTCGAGATGACAATAAACGACGAGAAATAGATCTCAGAAAAGATAATTAAACGAAAAAAATTTATCCGTAAAATTTCAGGAAAAAGAAAAGGGAGGAAAATGACCAGGTCATTACATTATTCAAGATAAATATTAAATAAAATCTTCATTACTTGTCCAAATAATCTAGATTTAATATGTCAATCTACATATCAAGGGGTAATATTCTATCATGCCACATGATTAAACAAAGCTATGGAAAACCGAAAAAATTAAATCATTCACAAAAAAATAAATAATAAAATCTCTAGATTTTACATCCAAGCATGTAATCAAGTTGTATAAGCATCACAAACATATAATATAGCAAGAATTTAAATTATAACACCCCCTACCTCAATTTGAGATGAAAACCTCAAATCCCCACTGAAAAAAAAGTGTTCCGAATTCGCCGAAACCGAAGGGTTTTGTCGGGGACAACACGATCTACATGAATCCAAAGGAAGCGCCATGAAAATCACAACTTGACCTCAAACCCAAACTCAAAAAATGGTCAGAAATGAATTCTAATAAGGGCGAATGATAGAACACGTCGAGGGGAATAATAAATGTAAAGGACGAAGGATTTCTACCAAGGAAATCAAGTGAAGGAGAAGGAGAAGGAGAAAGGGTGGCAGCCAAGGAACTCCCATGGCTGCCGGCCAAGAGAGTGGAGAAGATGAGTGAAAATCTGATTTTTCACTTTAGGGCATCCTATTTATAGTAAGTCTCAAAAACTACCCCGAAAGGGCCCTACCGGGTTCGAAAAAGTGGATTTTGAGCAAACGCGCTCAAACAGAAAATTCAATGAACAAAAAAGATTCAAAATGAGAAAATATGAATAACGGAAGAAACGGCGTTGAAAACTGAGTCCCGAGCAGAAAGTTATGCCCCGAACAAGTTCAGCGGCAATGGGTCTAAAAACTCTGAAACTGGAGAAAAACGAGTAGAAGGAAATTCTATGAATTTATGAGTCAACGAAAAATGAAAATGAATCCCGTACGAGGATCCAGGCTCCAGACGAGATATTTTGCAATAACTTTCGTTAATTGCACAATGGCCCCTATAAAAAGGGTTAATTGCGAAACTGCCTCGGAATGAAAATATCTTCCAAAAGATATTTTCTTAGATACCCCTAAAATAAAATATCTTCAAAAGATATTTATGAAAAACACCCCAAGAAAAGAAAATAATTGCAAAGAATTGTGCATCCAAGCCCCTATGGACACCGGGAGCAACCAGAGTACATTCTTGCAAAAGTAAAGATATGTATTTCGAGGAAACCATTGAAGATGAAGACACGTGAAGTCAAAAATCAACTCCGAGCATGAAAAGTGAGGTTGTGCCAAAAACTGGTAAACGGGGAAAAGACAGAATAGGGAAAAGGACGAAATAGGAAAAATGACAAAAGTGAATAGTATCTCGAAAAGTGAAAATGCGGAAATGACTCAGTCCTCAAAGGAAGTTGTCAATCCACACGAAAGAGTCTCAGAAGCCAATTCTGAGCACTCGAGATGACACTAAACGACGAGAAACTGATCTCAGAAAAGAGAATTAAACGGAAAAAATTTATCTGTAAAATTTCAAGAAAAGGAAAGGAAGGTAAATGACCGGGTCATTACAATTATATTTTAATATTTAAGAGTTGTTAAATATAGGTAGTCATAAATTATATGAAAATGAGAAGTCTCGGATATGTGGCTGAAATATCTCAAAGTATCATATTAAAAATAAAAATAAAAACATTTTCAAGTTAAAAAGTGTGAGACATGCATTCACAAATATCATTCTTTGACATACGACATGAATTTAATATGAATACTTCTCCTAATCGAAGTATTGTTACTTCATAACCTAAAGATGGATAACTTACAAATCAAATCAGTTACAACACATGACGTCATATTTTAAATTGTAAAAAGTATCGCATAAAACATCCAAGAACAAAAATTTCTCGGTCGGTTTGTTTTAAAATATTAATATTTTTTATTTTCAGATAAAATATTTTTTTATTTTTATTTTTCGGTATTTGGCAAATGTATAGGTTGAGGTCTAGTTCATTGGGTGAGGCATATAAAATAACTTACCGAAAATTATGAATAAGTTTTTTTTTTTTTTTTTTTTTTTTTTTTTTTTTTTTTTTTTTTTTTTGTACGGTTTTAATATTTTTTTTTCTTCATAAATATTTTACTAAAACTAAACATCAGAAAATATTTTTAATATTTTACGCACAAAAAATATTTTTTGAGGAAATATTTTACACTCAAACAAACAATATTTGTCCAAGTATGAAATATGCTTTGAGACTAGGCCTTTGGTTGTTATAGCCTTCACTTCTTTGATAAAATGAATGCATTTGTTGCTTGTTTAACCAAATATATATAATGATATTTTTGTGGGCCAAAAATCACCTCTCTTCGCATAGTGCACAATTTCCTCCATTTTGGAATAAGTAGAGGAGAAATGGCCACGTCACTTGAAAAAGTTGGTAAAAAAAAAGTAACTGCACATTATTGAAGTTGTATTAAATGTGTGTAATAATACGGTATATTTGTGTAATAATACGATAAAGGTTATATTTATACGGCATATTATCCATTTAACCCTTACTTATTGTGTGGAACTGTCCATTTAGCCCCAGTCCTAACTTTACAGAATTTGTAAGGAATGCAAATAAGAGAAAAAAGGAAGAAAGTCTGCGTGGGTTTGCGAAGAAGAAAGAAGGAAGGTGCTCTGAAGGTTTGCGTACGAAGAAGGTGCTTTGTTGCGTAAAGATGGTTTGCATGGGTCTGCGAAGAAGAAAGAATGAAGAAGGTCCTCTGTTGCCCTTTTTGTAGTTAAAGAAAACCGTAACCTCTCTTGTGCGTCTGAGGCTTGGGTCTGCCAAGGAAACCATCACTACATTGAAGAAAACCCTAACCTCTCTTTCCAAATAGAAGCTAGAAGTAGCGATTGTTCTGTGAATGAACCCAAAATTTGGTTGCTAAACCTAAGCAGGTATGAATCATAATTTTTAGATTTGATTTTGAAGGGAATCGTCTTATTTCCATAAGAACTAAATAGCATAAACAAATATAATTAGTAAGAATGTATAGACACATTTTTTGGTAAGAAACCCAGAAATAGAAAATTATTGGTGAATTTGAATTGATGGCTTATTTATTATGCAGTTATTAGGGTTATGATTGTTCGTTTGTGATAACAAAAAATGAGAGGATTTGTAGAGTACGAGTGATGCAAAAAAGAGTGTTTGAGAGTGTTACAATGTTAAGAAAATGTTTGGTCATTGAGCTTATATCGCAACATTTTCCTAAGTTGCATCCCAAGTTTCTCCTAATAAGAATCCCAAATTCTTCCTAATATGCATCCCAAATTCTTCGTTATCTGTATTCCAATATTTCTGTAAAGTGAGTCACAACATTTTCCTAATGTACATCCTAACATTTTCGTAATATAATCTCAAAGTATTTGTAAATTGTATCCCAACATTTTCCTTTTGAAGAAAACCCTAACCTCTCTCTTCTGTGTCTGAGCCTTCTTGGGTCTGTGAATAGAACCATTGCTACATTGAAGAAAACTAACCTCTCTTGCTCTTTCTTTGATTCAAGAAAACCTAAACCTCTCTCTTGCCTTTTCTTCCTCATTCAGTTTCGGTAATTAAAGAGAACCCCATAACCGATTGCCCTAAAAACCCATAAAGTGCAAAAGTTATTTATTCTTGACTTGGAGTTATGCTTTCGTCAATAGTAAGAGCTGTTCTAAAAGTTTAAAGTTCTCTTGTTGGGTTAGTGTGAATTAGCCAGTTTTAGTTTAATAATGCTGCCTAATGTTTTGAGCATAGTAGATGAGGTGCTTGATGTTTGCATTCACATGTGCGCATGAACATACATACAACATCGTAAATTGTAAATGTATTTGATTTTGTAATTTTTTAGTGATTAAATTGCTTATCTTCACTGCAGTTGAGTTTTGAGCATAATTTGTTTTACTCTTCCTTAGTGATGATCTTGTATATATTTAAAATTTGTCATATGTATATGATTATAAAGTTAGTGTATATAAATTTGGTTTATGGTTATATAATTTCTCTCGACTTAACTTATGTTGCATACACATTTTCGTTTTTGCGTATTTTCTGGTTGACAAATTACGCAGAAGAGCCAGTATGCCTTGATTTGGTGATATTACCTATGTAATATGCCTTCCTAAAGAAAAAGGCTATGTTTATATCATATACTCCGTATATTTTGCTGTATAGTAGGAGTATTAGTTTTAAAGTGGCTTGTTTTAGGGAGTAAGAAATTACAGCTTTGTCAAATAATCCACTATTTATTTTTGGCTAATATCTTTCACAATAATTCTCTTCATATTAGTGAATCAGCCTCCAAATGCACAACTCTTGTCTAAAATCTTGTTATTTGTACACATGTAGCTTGATGAAACTTCATGCTTTGACAGATTGTGTAATAGTGATATTTTTATTTTATATTTTTGGATTGAAAGCAAATGCTTATATTGGACATGTTTCAGCAGTTTAATTGCAAAATACTGATATGTTGTGTTATATATTTAGCAGTTAAGATGTTGTGGCTATGTCACATTTCATGTACATTAATAATTTCTGTATGTCATATCTAATTGTGGCTTGAATCAAATTTAGGTTTTGAAATGGGTAGGTTGGAGACTGTAGCGCGTAACAAAGGGAAAGGGAAAAGGAAAATTATAACGGTTCCAAAGGAGATAAGTATCCCTAAGAGTGGTGAGGTTGGTGAGAGTTCGAGAATGGCATCTGAGAGCGATTCTAATTATGTGCCACGTGAAGAGGAGGTAGATGAAGATGACTATGAAGATGAAAAAGAATTTGAGCCAGAGGCAAATACTACTACATCCTCTAAGACTAAAGAAAGTATGCCGCGTCGTCCTGCTGGAGTGTTCGTTTTGTTCAAGTATGTATGTATTAATGTTAATTTTGCAATTGAAATTTGGTTTGAAGTCTAAAGTCATGGAAAAGTAGGAATAAATTGAGAAGTTATATGAAATCTTTGGTTTTTCGTAAATAGAAGATATATGAGTTTAAGAGTAGAGAACAGAAAAAGTAAGTTGTGATGTATATGTATTTAAATCCTTATGCTTGGTTTATTAATGGTTCATCAGAGCGGCATATATGAGGAAATACCGAGAAGATCATGGATTGACGGAAAAAAATCAAGATGTCTCTAAAAAGAGAAATAGAGACTGAAACTACGCATACATGGAAAATAATGAGCAGTGAAGAGAAGGCCTCATATTATAAGGAAAAAAGTAGACTTGAAATGGAGTTCTGAAGGTTTGGATGTAAAGTTACAAATAAAAGAAGGAAAAAGGTAATGTGTTAAATCGAATTGTTTGTATTTATTTCATATAACATAGACTTGAAAATTGAACGATAATGTTATTTGCTTTTCAATGGTATAGAAGAAGGTAGAATACAAGATTAAGGCCGGTTTCCATAGAAGCACCATTCTGAAATTCATAGAAATAGTTGCGAAACTGAACTCTAAGAAAAGGAAGGATGTGGAGGATATCGGTTTTGGAGTTCTGTTGGAGCTCAAGTGTTCCCATTTGTCGACTCCACTCTTCAACTACTTGATAGAACAATTTAAGGCTGACAAATGTGGCATAAAACTGAAGGGCAATCAGTTGTTGCCCATAAATGCGTTTGAGGTGCATAACATTTTGGGCTTACCTGCCGGTATAATGCCAGTGCCTACATCCCATCAGTTTTGTACAGACTGGATAGATGAGGGTGGATATCAGGAGTCGTTGTATGTAGGCGAATTGATGAAAAGGGTTATAGAATGTGAAGCTGGAGATGACTTTAAAAAGGCCTTTCTATTATGCGCATGTGCGACTGTACTAACCCCAAACGGTCATTATCATTCGCATGTACAAGAATTATTGGCTGTTGACAATGTCAAAGCAATAAGTTCTTATAACTGGTGCCTGTATGTGGTGGACCATGTGGTTGGTAGTTTAGGTGATGCCAAGCTAAAAAGCGAGTATGTTGGTTGCTTGATTTTCTTGCAGGTATACAACTTTTTTATTTAACTCCATTTGCAAATTGAAAGTTATGAATTTAAAATTTTCATATATAATATGTATCATGTCTAATCTGCTACATTTTGTTTCATACAAAATAGCTGCTTTATTTGATGAGATGTCAAGTGAAGTACCCATGCTATCCTACTAGAGATAGAAACAGCCTAGCTTATTGGGATGATGGCCTCGTATGTGATCGATTGAAATGGGAGGAACAGATAGGAGGGTTTGGAAATGGTCAGGTAATGTAGTATTTGTTAGATACGTTACAAATTTAAGTGGTTGTGTATCTTTATTTTATCATTCCAGCATCAGCTAGAACAATAGTTACACATTCTGCGTAATTTGAATTTAGAATAGTTGATCACAGCTTGGGGCACAGTAGATTTGAGCAATGTCAATGTTGGCCCAACTGCATGTGGTCCATCCTAATCTCGGCCAGGCTCGTCCAATGCTGCATTGGAGGTAATAAATATTTTAATGCTGTAGATGATGATGTATGTATGAATAGACTGCCTCATAATTGTATTTCAATTAGTGTTCACCAATTACTACATTTATATGTAACGTTACATTAAAGATATGGAAAAGGAAATAAGAAAAGATGTAGAAAATACAAAGACGTTGAAGAGAAAGGTTAAGGAAATAGAGACTTTAATGAAGAAGAAGTCAAAAAAGGATTGTAGAGGTGAGGAGCAACAGTCTGCTGGTGAGCCACGAGATGAAAAGGATAGGGAGGATAGGGAAACAGGTGCTAAGGGGGAATCATTTGATGGGGATGTATTTTAGAGAGATGCAGGCCACCTTACTCCTACCACCAACCTTAAAATGAATGACCAACAAAGGGAAGAGGGCGATACGGTTGTCGCCATGGATATAGAGCAGGACTTAAGTGCAGCAGCAGTTGCAGCTTCTAGTAGTCAGGCAGACATAAATGTTGCAAGGCCTCAAAATTCCATTAATGTTATGGACATAGGAGAGGATAAAGTCCTGGCAAATCCGAGACGAAGTAAGAGGACAAAAAAGCTAACAAAATATTACTTCTCTCCATTTGTGTATAAGAGAGGTAAAAAGATTAAATTGGGCATTAAGTAGAAGAAATTGTTGAGTTATGCGGCATCGCGTAAGCATGATGACGAGTAATTGCAACACACACTTCTTAATATTGTATTGGAATGAATATATTAATTTTAATTAATGTGTGCAGGGAGATATTGGTATAAATGTATGGTGGGGCCCTTTTAAGGAAGGAGATAGCTCAACTGTTTGACCCGAATTGGGTGTATAACTTTGTGAGTGATTATAATCGCATGTTATTTGTAATTAATCTTCATTGTTATGAATATACTTAGTAAATATAAATGTTTACTTATTTCAGGTCATACTATTTTGAGCAAATGTTTTGAACAAACAACAAGGAGATTGTATGACGAAGTACTACTTCCCAACTACAGCCGTGCAATTCCTTGTGGCAAAATAGCTGGTGAATTTTAAAACTGTTGAGGAGTGGTGGGCAGCCTTAAAAGATGTAATGACCCGGTCATTTGACTCCCTTTCCTTTTTCCTGAAATTTTATGAATATATTTTTTTCGTTTAATTTTCTTTTCTGAGTTGTGTTTCTCATCGTCTAGTGTCATCTCGAGTGCTCGAAAATGGTTTCTAAGACTCTTTCATTGGGATTGACAACTTCCTTTGAGGACCGAGTCATTTCTATATTTTCACTTTTCGGACACTATTCACTTTCGTCATTTTCCCTGTTTTTTCCTTTTCCCTATTTTGTCTTTTCGCCGTTTGTCACTTTGTTGGCAAAACCTCACTTTTCATGCTCGGAGTTAATTTTGACTTCACGTGCCTTCATCCTTAGTGGTTTCCATGAAATACGTATCTTTACTTTTACGAGAAAGTACTCCGGTTATTCCCGGTGTCCATGGGGGCATGGATGCATAGTTCTTTAGAATCATTTTCTTTTCTTGGGGTGTTTTTTGTGAATATCTTTTGAAGTTATTTTATTTCAGGGGTATCTAAGAAAATATTTTTTGAAGATATTTTCATTCTGGGGCATTAGTGTAATTAACCTTTTTTGGAGGGGTTATTGTGCAATTAATGAAAGTTATTGCAAAAATATCTTGTCTGGAGCCTGGATCCTCGTACAGGATTCATTTTCACATTTCATCGAGTCATGTACTCTTAGAATTCCGTTCTGGTCATTTTTCTCCAGTTTCAGAGTTTCTGACCCTAGTTGCCGCCGAAATTGTTCGGGGCATATCTATCTGCTCGGGGCTCAGTTTTTGACGCCGTTTCTTCCTTTGTTCATATTTTCTCATTTTGAATCTTTTTTGTTCACGGAGTTTTTCTGTTTGAGCGCGTTTGCTCAAAATCCACTTTCCAAACCCGGCGGGGCCCTTTCGGGGCACTTTTTGAGATTTTCTATAAATAGAGGACTTAAAGAAGAAAAATCAGATTTTCCTCTTCTTCTTCCTCTCTTGGCCGGCAGCCATGGATGCCCATGGGGCTGCCACCTTTTGTTCTTCTCCTCCACTTGATTTCCTTAGTGAAAAGTCTTCGGCCTTAACGTTTGTTGTTCCCCTCGATGTGCTCTACCTTTCACCCTTATTAGAACCCATTTTTGACCATTTCTTGAGTTTGGGTTTGAAGTCAAGTTGTGATTTTCATGGGGCTTCCTTCGAATTCTTGTAGATCGTGTTGTCCCCGACAAAACCCATTGGTATCGCGGATTCGGAACACTTTTTTTTCGATGGGCCTTTGAGGTTTTCATCTCAAATTGAGGTAGTGTAACAACCCAGTCATTTGCCTTCCTTTCCTTTTTCCTGAAATTTTACAAATGAATTTTTTTCGTTTAATTTTCTTTTCTGAGCTCTGTTTCGTGTCGCTTAATGTCATCTCGAGTGCTCAGAATTGGTTCCTGAGACTCTTTTTCATGGATTGACAACTTCCCTTGAGGACCGAGTCATTTTCACATTTTTCGTTTTTCGACACTATGCGCTATTTCGTCATTTTCCGTATTCTGTCTTATCTCCGTTTGTCAGTTTTTGGCACAACCTCACTTCTCATACTCGGAGTTAGTTTTTGCCTTCACGTGTCTTCATCTTGAGTGGTTTCGTCGAAATACGTATCTTTACTTTTGCAAGAAAGTACTCTGGTTGCTCCCAGTGCCCATAGGGGCATGGATGCACAATTCTTTAGAATCTTTTTCATTTCTTAGGATGTTTTTCGTAAATATTTTTTGAAGATATTTTATTTCAGGGGTATCTAAGAAAATATCTTTTGGAATATATTTTCATTCTGGGACAGTTTCGCAGTTAACCCTTTTTGTAGGGGTCATTGTGTAATTAACGAAAGTTATTGCAAAATGTCATGTCTGGAGCCTAGATCCTTGTACGGAATTCATTTTCACATTTCATCGAGTCATGGACTCTTAGAATTTCCTTCTGGTCATTTTCCCCAGTTTTAAGGATTTTTGGCCCCGGTTGCCGCCGAACTTGTTCAGGGCATAACTTTCTGTTCGGGACTCAGTTTTTGACGCCGTTTCTTCTGTTATTCATATTTTCTTATTTTAAATCTTTTTTGTTCACGGAGTTTTTCCGTTTGAGCGCGTTTGCTCAAAATCCACTTTTCCGGACTCGGTGGGGCCCTTTCGGGGCACTTTTTGAGATTTCTATAAATAAGTTGCCCTAATTTTTAAAATCAGATTTTCAGACCTTCTTCCTCCTCTTGGCTGGCAACCATGGGAGCCCAAGGGACTGCCTTCACTCTTTCTTCTCCTCCACTTGATTTCCTTAGTAGAAATCCTTCGGCCTTAACATTTGTTATTCGCCTCGTCGTGCTCTACCATTACCCCTTATTATAATCCATTTCCGACGATTTTTTGAGTTCGGGTTTGGAGTCAAGTTGAGATTTTCATGGGGCTTCTTGCAGATTCTTGTTCACGGTGTTGTCCCCGACAAAACCTCTCGGTATCGTCGAATTCGAAGCACTTTTATTTTGGTGGGCCTTTGAGATTTCATTTCAAATTGAGGTAGGGGATGTTCTAGGTTTAAATTCTTGTTTTATAGCATGCTTGTGATGCTTATATAACTTGTTTGCATGATTAAATATAAAATCTAGAGATTTTATTATTTATTTTTCTTGTACGGGATTTAATTTTCCCGGTTGCTCGTGACTTCGTTTAAACATGTAGTATGATTTTATATTGCCTCTTGATATGCTCATTGTCATGTATTAAAATTGGAACATTTGAATAAGTATTAAATATTTTATTTAATATTTATCTTAGGTGAAAGATTAATTCACAAGGCCTTAACTAGCTTGAAATCAATATGTGTTAGCATATTAAATTAGGCCTTAGCATGGTCTCCAACATAGTTGAATTTGAACGTAATTGGAGGTGTTTTGAAAATTAGTAATTATTAATTAATTTAATTAATTAATTTGCCCCGAGTGCACTATTCACTTTATTTGAATTCTGACTTAATATTCTTGATTTACATGCCATATAGCTTCACATATATTTGATTTAGAATATTCGGTTAGGTTTTGAAACCTTTTATTTAATTAAATTCCATATTTAAGATTTAATCCTCATGGTGATATACAACTTAGAATTGTATTGTGGTATGCTAGAAAATTAAGTTTTGGTATGGTTGTTCACATGTATTAAATTGGGATTTATTGCATGAGAATTGCAACTTTTGTTTTATAATTAACTTTAGTGAAAGTTTAATTCGCATGGTCGTAAATTGAATGAAATAAACTTGTAATGTGATATTACATTAGTCCTTGGCATGTTTTCCAACATAGGTTAATTTGATAGCATTTGGTTAAGTTTGAAAATCTAGAGATTTTAATTAAAAGAATTAATTAAAATCTATTTTGTAGTCCCATTAGCTTAATTAAGATTTTAACTTGATATTTGTATTGGCCATGACTTGTTTACTAGTATATATTAATTGTGGACCATTTGAAGTTGCTTTAGAACCTTGGTAATTAAATTAGCATGATTTAATTAGAGTTCTACTTTGTTGTTCCAATAACCTAATTGAGTTTTAGAATGGATATAGGTGATGACCATGCCATGTTCTTTAATATGTATTAATTTGAGGTTATTTGGAATTGAATTAGAATCTAGGGAATTTAATTTTTTTTATTTAATTAACTTCTATCGAATTGAGTCATGGATTTAATTGTGTTTAAAAGTCGTTTCTATATTCAAATCATGGACTTAGACTTGTTGTATATTCATTTGGTTACATTTTGAACATTGGATAACATAGTTGCTATGTTTGTATTCGTGATAATATGTTTTCCTTATTGAATATATTGTTGTCTTGCGTAATGATTTGCACACTCCATATTTAACATCATTCATGCATAGCATGTAACGAATCGCACACTGAAGATTCGACATTCATCATGTCATATTAGTTGTGGATTTAGAGCATGTATTGTATAGGTTTCCAAATTTGGTTGTGCTTGGTAGATAGTTGATTATCTTGCATATTCCTGTTGATATATACCTTGTTGCACAACTTGTTGATTTTGGAAACTTGGGGATGTCGTTGTTTGACTATGGCTAGGACGTGGTTCTAATACGGGGGATAGTCCCTCTATATAGTCTAGTGCGCACATAGGGAGGTTACCCATGGGCTAGTAACCCTAAAGTAACTATGTTGTCGGTCTGACTCGGCGTGACGTCCGAGTATCCACTTTATTTGATTTCGCATTTCATTTTCAAGTTGATAACTAGATGATGTTGTAACTTGTTGTTCCTT